TACTTTCACTTTAGTTACATAGTGAATTATTTATTTTGAAACCCTTATTCTACAACTTTTTAGTTCTTTCCAAATATAAGAATGTTTGGTTAGGAAAATAAAAGTTAGAAAAGTTATTCTTTCGCAAAACGCATCAAAAAAACATAAAAAGTAGTGTAATTCTTTTAATATTTTCTTGGTGAAGATTTTTCTTTTCTCTTCTAAAGTAGAAAAGTTGCCTCACCCTTGCACAACCTCTACGTTACGGATCATATCTTAATCTTACTTTGCGCATTCCCGACAGCACTTTACACATTTTTTAAGTTTACATAATGCAGTTGATTATTCCTTTTTAATTACATTAACATTTAGGTTGTAAGGCAATTTCGATGTCACAAATATATGTACATATATTATTATTATGTGTATATCCATGTCAAGTTAACGTTGAATGGTGGTGATAATATCATATCGTACAAAAGTAATAAAATAAAATAAAAAAAAGGCTATTCAGTCCATAAATCTAATTTTAAATTTTTTTAATCCAAAAGTTCAGAAATTGAAATATTTTTTTCCAAAGGACATGCTTAGACAAAATGACCAAAATATCTCTCTCTCTCTCTCTCTCTCTCTATATATATATATATATCACATACACAATCCTATGAACAGTCACTCACTAACTCTCTCTCTCTCCCTCCCTCCCTCTCGTAGTTGTCGTAGTCATCGGACTCCGATCTCAGTCAATCTTCTTTACCGTTTGACGAAGACAACACCATCGATGGCTCTTCCTCCGTTGTAGTAGCCATCAGATGACGGCGATGATTGAGATTGAAATCGTTTTCGGTATAATGCCTCGAAATAATAACAATAGCCCATCTCATAATATTCCTTACAATTGATCAATAACATCGTATCTTATATGCCATTTATAAACTTGATGATACAAAAGATGACATATGTGTATATATATTCATAAATCTTAAATGCTAAATCTATAATATATGACATGGATACATGAATTTCAAATAAATGAAATATCAAATAATTATATATCCTAATGGCTACATATCTCTAAGTTAATGTTTTGGTACATCAAAATGAGTTCAACTCAATACAATTAAAACCTAAGGCTTATATAAAAATAATTACATCAAATAAAACAAATAAAGCTCTTGCTTCTCAATTCCTTCCAAGCTATGTACTTAGTAAATGCATATCATCAACACTTGAAAGTTATTTTTCACATAAGGTGAGCCAAAAGCCATTAGAGATGCTTTAATACAATATATGAATCTTAACAAAGTCATAAAGTGAATACACATGTATGTCATTTGTCAAATATTTCACATTGTCCATCTCAAAGCTATGCAATGCCAGAGTATATATTACTTCATGAAAATAATCCTTCTGTAATAGAAAATAGGGTAATGGATATAAAACATCAAAAATCTATAAGTATGTGTCTGTTAGTAAGCTATATAAGTACTACCCAAGTCATTAAACCGATACTAACCAAAAGGATCGACACCTAACCGCGTGAGTTTCTAACTTTCACTAAGGACACACAAGCCAATATAACAACCACAACTATACCCCATAACTAGATTCACCAAGGTAATTACCTCTTTTTCTTAAAACAAAACATTTTAAATGTTTAAGTATGCAATAATGCTCAATGCAAGATGTATGAGTGATTAGTTTCAATTCACCTAATCGTCATGCAATTTCTACAACAATCAAAACTACCCTCCGCCGATAACCCAAAACAGATATTTCTATACAACAGATAATTTTTCAACAACAAATATAATCTCTTCATTTTCAAAATGGGAGTGATGTTATATATCCAACCCCACCATCATCATCAACATATACATTGTTCCATTCTTACCAAACCCAACATCATTTTCCATTTTCTTTCACAAACCAAATATCCATAATTTTAGAACAAAAACTCTCTTTACTTACAAAATCAATTTTTAGTAAAGAAATCCACTATTTTAACATATCTCAATCATAAACGCATTCCCATAACCTTTCTCGAGAATCCATTTGAAAATCCATCTTTTCCAATTCAAGACCAAACCCTAGGTTTAACCTAAAATTCTCAAATCACTAGATTCTATCAATAAACAAATAACTAAGGTAAAAATTATATCAAAGGTTGAAAAAATCCCTACCTCAAAAGTAAAATATAAGAGAGAATAAAAGTTGAAGTTTGGCAGAGCCGAAAATGATAACTCCTTTGATTAAAATAAAGCTCTCGACGTACTTTACCTTTTTTGCCAAGGGGGTAGGATGTAGACATCAATAGGTTAAGAGAGAAAGTGATATACGAGTAGACCGCTCAAGTGACCAAAACACTACTTGAGCATCAGACACAATAAGTAACACTGCTCGAGCGACCAAAAACACCACTCGAGCGCACAATGACCCCCTCCCAGAAGTTCAGACCTGCAAACTACCACTTGAGCTCAAGAAATATTGCTCAAGCAAAAATACCTTACTTCCAATAGTTTTGTAGACTGTAAAAGATAGCTCGAGCGAACAGGCAAAAATCTGGGCAACAATTCTTTTGAAAAGCTAACTCTAAACCTGCTTCAAATACATTCATAACTCCTAAATAATCAAATTCAACTAGCAACAAAATGAAAATGAGATGAACAATAGTTAAGAACATGGATTTTTTTATTCAAAAGTAAGAAATTGGTCGAGCCTAAACCGTAACCTCTATATTCGGAGTGCATCGACGTCCTCACCTGCCATGGAAGACAACTCTCCTCCCTGCTCCTCTCCTCCATACAACACCCCCTTAAACCCAACACCACCTCGACGATGCTAATGATGAACTCCAATCAATCTCCGATCTCACCGACATGCATTCTCTACTCTATAACGACCTTAACGGTAACACAACGGTGGCAACTATGACGGTGCTTCTACGCCACCACCACTTGTTTATCATTGTCGACATCGGTACAATCTCACAGATCTAAGATTGCCAGTCACCAATTCATCGATCTTTCAACGAAACACATCGTAGGTAGTACTACTTCTTCACATTTTTCAACGCATGTATTGACATGTGATGCACGTTCATTTCCACACGATCAATGGCTTGGTCTTCATAGAATCGTCAATTTGGTAACAGTTTCTTTGTGTTTTGTTTGGTTAATGAGAAAATAAAAGAAATAAAGAACGTAGAACTCTGAATTTTTTTTATCTTTATTATTTTCATAGATTAGATCTGAGATCCACAAATCCATCCCAATCTATATCATCATAGATTTAAAGTATTATGTTTTTTTTTTTTTTTTGTTATTTCATACTACACATAAAAAATTGAACAGATAATAGTTATTGAGAATTTGATGGTCATGGGTGTATTCTTTATTAGTTTTAATTTTTAATTTTTTTTTTGGTTGTTTTGTTATTATTCTGATGGTAATGGTTACAGATGTGTTGTTTATTAATTTTAATTTTATTTTATTTCTTTTAGTTTTGTTATTATTCTGTTGGTAAGGTCTAGATGCAATGCCATTTTTTCATATAAATTTGAATAGATAGTGGATTCAAAAAAATTTAACAAATATTTTTAATAGATAAAAAAAATAAAAATTTAAACAGATAAAAAAATTGAACAGATAGATATAAATTTGAACAGATAAAGAAAAAAATTTGAACAGATAGAGAGAGAAACCCACAAATTTTGAACAAGTAAGGAAAAAATTGAATAGATAGTCATAAAATTTGAACAAATACAAAATGTCATAAAATTTGAACAGATTCAAAATAATTTGAACAGATAGTAAACGAAAGGTCAACAAATTAAAAGAGTCAACAGATAAATTAAGAGGTAAAATTGAATACAAAATGTTCTCTAAAATCAATGAAATGACTTATCACCAAACTATTTCATGGGTAGACCTTTCATCAACAAAAAATATCCAATTGAATTTAATACCTTATACTCTTCTTACCTTGGATTTTTCAACAATTTTCTCTAAAAAAATAACATAAACAAAATTATGATTTAATTTACTTGAAATGAGTAAATCTTCTAAATAAAAGTGATATTTGTCAAGACAGTGAAAAAGCCGAAGGTAGGCATGGCTCCAGGTAAAGATGGATGGATGCCGGTGTTTCGACGAAGACCAGGTAGGTATGGCTCATTAGCAAAGCTTCATATACTATTTGTGGATGAGATTCCAAAGTCGATGAATCCTAAAGGTTCGTTCACTATGTTTTCAAACTTCGATGCTGTTAAAGATATTTATATCCCAGAGAAAATGAGAAAAGCTACGAAAACTAGATTCAATTTTGTTAGGTATGATTGTCTTGTTACAGCAGGGATAGCAATTCAGAAAGCTAATGAAGAATGGTGTGGTGATAAAACGTTGAAGGTGAAACAGGCGGATTTTGGGAAAAACAAGAACCTAGCAACTTCAAGAATAGTAGATTCGAAACCAGTTTGGGCAATGAGATCAAAGGTTGCTAGGCTTGGTGAGAGATGCTCTTACGCTGAGGTTCTAAAATGAGGGAAGATTGTTAGTGGCAATAATATCAGAATTACAGCGGGATGAATATGCCATTGGTTGGTTGCTATTGAGTGCAGTGATTAAACTTAAGCCCTACCGCAGTTTTAATGATTTCAAAATATAATGTTGTAACAGAGGGCTGAAGGACATTCAACTCAGAGAAGATGGAAGGAGAAACGCGCTTATAACTTTCTAATCTAAGGAAGATATGAAGCAACTAATGAGCAGTTTGGGAACTGGGTTATGGAGTTGTGTGAGTCAATTACTGAATGGCGTAAAGGTATGAGGCTGGACAATGATAGATTTGTTTGATTAAGCTGTTTTGGTATGCCTCCAAATCTCTAGAATGTTAATAATTTCTAGAAAATTTGTGAAGTTTGTGGTGAAGTTATTGAGTTTGATCATAATGTTTTAAGTATGGAGTCTCTAAAGTGTGGAAAAGTTAGAATTTATACATCTCATTTAGAATGTATTGATAAAATGGTTATTCTTGAAAGAGGTGGTAGTAGCTATCTCGTTCGTGTAGTTGAGGATAAGGATTTGCCAGTAAACTCCATGGGAGGTGGAGAGCATTGCTCTGTACCTTACCATGAAAGTAGGAATGAAGATGATGACATGGGAAACATAGTGGCTGATGTGGCAAAAAATCATGTCATGGCAAATAGTAAGGAGATTAATGATATGATGGTGGGGGAAAGGCATGATCACATTGTAGACACCCAATTTTTGACCGACCTTAAGACTCAGACGCCATCAATTGAGCGCTCGGTGATGATGCATATTGTGCTCGTTCTGAAGTTTCAGAGTCTCGGCTGCGATCCTTGCCTCCGGACTTTGGGGCTCTTTTGTGCTTTGCCTCGGTTTGCGAACCAGGTCCTGTTTTCTCTATTTTCTCTTTCCAAAGGGAGGGAGAGGTCTCGTAGGCCATCTCTCAGTGGCCGTAGGCTACGTTTCGTGGTCGTAGGCCATTTTTCCCGTTTAGAGCCCAGTTTTCGGTTTTCAGAGCCGTTGGACGTGTGTCTCGGTTTGGGACCGCTTAACTACCTCCGTTTGCTCCGGTTTTAGGCACACCCCTTATTTCCTCCCTTTAGAGGGATACTGTGGCCCAGGAGACCACCTTCGTGGTCATGCGCCACTTTCGGTGCCTAACAGCCTGTTTTCGGGGCCTCGAACCGCGCGTTTTGGCCCCCGAACCTTCGTTTTGCATCCGTTTTGGTCCATTTTTGGTAGCGACCCTATTTTCATTGCTAGGGAGGTGGTAAGATGGTGGGAGGCTACCTTTTTCCCTAAAAAATTAGTTTTCTCATTTTCTCTCTCCAAAAGCCGATTTTTCTGACAGAAAGCTGGTTTTTCTCACTTTTGAGCCACAATTTCTAAGCCGATTTTTCTGACAGAAAGCTGGTTTTTCTCACTTTTGAGCCACAATTTCTAGCTTTTCATACCACCATTGTGTTGTGCTCATCTAGGAGGTCACCAATATGGGTAGGCCGACCAGTAATTCACCTTGTCCCTTTTGAACCTTGCTAAAAAGCTGGTTTTTCTCTCTCTTGGGTCACATTTTCTGGTTTTTCACTATACAGCTGTGTTGCACTCATCTGGGAGGCCACCTTTTTGGGGTGGCCGGCCAAAAATTTTTCTTGAACCTTTTGACCCCTGGTCGGCCGACCAGGGGAAGTGGCCGGCCGACTAGGGGAAGTGGCCGACCGGCCACTTGAACTGGCCGGCCTGCTTCTTGCTTTTTGCCCTCTCTGAATGCATCACAGCTGTGCCAGCTGTAAGGCAATTGGACCATCCTCTGTGAAGCCACTTTAAGATATTTTGGAGCCTCTCCTCTATAAAGGGGAGGCTGATCTTCCATTGCAAGGGTTGAACCCCTTTGAAGGCTTACAACTCTCTCTCTCTCTATATCTCTACACTTGAGCCTCCAAACCGTAGTTTTCTTGGACCATTTGCACTACAACCCTTAGCACAACACCTCCTCCATCCATTCCAGCACTTTGGGACTGATTTTCAAGGATTGAAGGTTTACCAACTTGGTCCAAAAGCTCCAGCTTTGCTGTTCTTCAAGGGTAAGCACCTATTTCCCTTAAACTTGTATTTTTTTGCTCCATTGATTAGCCTTACTTGAAAATATTTCTGGACTTTGTCATAAACTAAAAAGTGTCATATTTTGAGCTCCTCTTGAATATTGATTAAGGACACTTTTCTGTTTGAGGTCCCCTACATCCTTGTATGCTTTATCCCTCTTTGTAGGCCTATTTTGCATCATATCCTAGTCCTATTTGTGAGCATTTTCGAGGTTTTTCATAAACTAGAAAAAGTTTCCTTTTGAGCTTATAAACATGTTTGTGTAAGATACTTTTTCTGTTTGGGGTCATCTACCCCCTTTCATGCCTTATTTCCTCATGTTTTGAGCTATGCATGTGAGCACTTGCATTGGCCTTGATTTGGCCTTTTAGCCACTGAAATCCAGCGGATTTTTAGTGGCTTAGATGTGCCTTTGAGCTTCAAAATCATAGAGGGGTGACTCTCTCACCCCTCATTCTCTTTACTAGCTTTGTTGGCCTTTCAAAGGGACCCTCACTTGCATGTTGTGAAGTCACTTTTTGGGCTCAATTTGGTGAGTTTCAAGGTCTTCCTTAGCTCTGTTCAAGGCCCTTTTGGCCATATTTTATGTCCCTCATGCATGTGTAGAACAATTCCATTCAAGGCCTTTTGAGGGGGCCTTTCATTGTATGCTTCATTGACCCATTTCAGGGCCAATTTGGTGAGTTTTAGGCTTGTCATATTTGATTTCCAGAGTTGGTTTTCTACTGAAAGAGATGTTAAATTAGGAAGACTTTCTAGGCCTTCTCTCTTCAAGTTCCACCCAAATGTTGAGCCCCCACCCACTTCTTTAAGTTTTTCCAATGACCACTTGCTAACCTCAAATTCAAGGACATTGTCGGGGCCGACAGAATTGGGTACTGAAATTGTTGAGCATGTCTTGCCTGAGGGAGGTGCTGCTCCTTCAACATCTCTGAATCCCAATGTGCCAGATACTCATCCAACGGTATCTGGGAGGAAGTCTTCTCCAGGCTCCCCAGTTTCTTCTCCACCACGTTTTATCGATGCAATTGAACAACCTGTGACACTAGATGTAAATTCACCAGATCGATTGGCTGGGGAACTGTTCTTCCTGGATGTTTCACTAGCATTTACAGCTGAGGAGTTGTCACGAGCTCCAGCAGAAATTTTAGGTAGAAGCAGTCATGGGACTTTATACAAGGCCACTCTAGATAGCGGGCATATGTTGACTGTGAAGTGGATGAGGGTAGGATTGGTCAAACATAAGAAAGAATTTGCCAAGGAAGTTAAAAAAATTGGATCAATGAGACATCCCAATATTGTTCCGTTGCGAGCTTATTATTGGGGGCCAAGAGAACAGGAGAGGCTTATTTTAGCAGACTATGTTCGTGGAGATAACTTGGCTCTACATCTTTATGGTAAGAGCCTTTTTAAACTGATATACAGCTGTTCCTCTATCTAAGTTGTCATTTTTATATTTCTCTATTCATACTTGTGACTCACGCAAACATTTTTCAATTCTCTTTTATGGACGAGCTTTGTGGCATATCAATAGTTAGGCTATTGTGTTGTGGTTTAATTCCAGTGATACTTGGAAGTGTGGAATCCAGTCTTGTGATGTTAGACTTGACAGTCTTACTCTACATTTTGTTTCGTCAAACAAATTTAGGAAATCTCCTTTTTGGTGGTATTAGTTGAAACTTGTCTGTAGTATCTCAGCTTGCTTGTATGAAACTTGCTTAAATTGCGAGGGACTATGTTTGTTCTAGAAGTTCTGTATCTGTGGTCGCTAAATTTAATACTTTGTTAAATTTAAATTTGAATTTCTCTTGCTGATACAGCGAAATTATATAACTATTTCTTTGATAGTGAGTATGGCATTGGTAAATTGAACATTGGCTTGCCATCTCGGGGGACAGTTTTTGATTCTCCATCTCAGCAGATTGATCTATGGACATGAATTTTGCAATTGTTAAATTTCCATGTAGAATTTCTGCATCATGCTCAGGCCTCTTCATACTCACTAGCATATTTTTATTTTATTTTTAAAAGTATCTTTATCATTAGCATATGTTCATGCGGTTTCATGCCAACACTCTGCTTGTTATTTGCATGAATTTAGTGTGGGAGTACAAGAAATCTTGTGGCTTATCTACAATACATGGAGTTGGAGTTGTATTTATTTTGCTGAACTTTCACTTGTATTACTACTATATTTGTGTGGTGTGATCATGCTGTCTTGCTCCCATTAGTCGAGTCTGCCAGATCTAGCCTCCCAATTCTTTTTTGCCTCACAGACACTGTTTCTGTCAAAGAGTGCACCAAGCTTAAAACTACAAAAGAAGGTTAAATATGAGAACTTCCCAAGATCCTTTTTGCTTCACTAAGATTCATAACAAATTCTCTTTTTGCGTGCCTAGTGTCCTCGTTTGTTTAGGTGTCCTTTGTCCCACAGACTATCCTCAAAAAACCGTGAAGCTGAATTGCAGGATTTAGATTTTGAACTACATTGTACTGATCAAAAAGAGATTTTGAACTACATTGTAATTCTAGAACTAATGAAACAACTGACTTTATGTTATGTACCTGTAGAGATCAAATTGGAGTGTTGGCATTTCATTAGAGAAGCCCTTAGTCACGACATCTTTCTCCAGGATTCTGAAGCTCTTACAGCAATTCTCGCATTTGTGTATCGGCACAACTTAAGTCAACCAATAGCCAAATATTGACAGGATCTAATAACAAGGTTACAAACCCTAATTTTTTAGGTGCCTTAGCTTTATTGGATTTGTTTCTTTGGTGGGGGTAACTGGACGGGTATTTTTGATCTCAAGATGAGATTTTCTACCAACTCTACCATCTTAATTCACACATGTTACCTGCTAGTAAAATTTTGTGTGCAGGATTGTTTTGAAATTGCATTGAACTTGTCTTAGTTTTGAATATTTCATTAACACTTGTCTTGCACAGAGACGACACCCCGGAGATACTCCCCGCTGTCATTCAGCCAAAGGTTGAAAGTTGCTATTGACATTGCTCGGTGTCTGACATACCTTCATGATAGTGGCCTTCCTCATGGGAACCTAAAACCTACTAATGTACTCTTGGAAGGCTCTGATCTGAATGCTCATCTTACTGATTACAGTCTCCACCGTCTGATGACACCAGCTGGCATTGCAGAGCAGATATTAAACCTTGGAGCACTCGGATACCGTGCTCCTGAACTCGCTACAGCAGCCAAACCAGTCCCATCATTCAAAGCTGACGTGTACGCATTTGGAGTGATTTTAATGGAATTGTTGACCAGAAGAAGTGCTGGTGACATTATCTCAGGTCAATCGGGGGCTGTTGATCTTACAGATTGGGTCCGGCTATGTGATCATGAAGGACGAGGAATGGATTGCATTGACAGAGACATTGCCAGTGGAGAGGAACACTCGAGAGCAATGGATGAATTGCTTGCAATATCACTAAGGTGCATTCTTCCTGTAAATGAAAGGCCTAACATCAGACAAGTTTTCGACAATCTCTGTTCTATATCTGTTTGAAATTTTGTACATGTGTCTTGGAATTATTTTTTCCTTCCTCGACTTTCTTGTTTTTTTCCCCCACTCTTTCTCCACCATTGGTTTCCTAGCCTCCTAATCTGGGCTAATCTTCACATTCTTTTCTTAATTTTTGTGTAAAGCGACAATTGATCTATTGATTGATTGACAGTATTTCTCAGTTTGATCTTGAAGTGAAAAGATTGCAAATCATCTTTCTCATTTTTGTCTCTTGAGTTGGTTGGTGTATTAGCATTACCAGGTGATCAACTAACGTTGTGTTTGGTTTTGATGGAAAGGAAGAGAAAGGAAGGGAAGGTTGATTTTAATTCTCACGCAATTTTTTCTGATTATGTGTGGTCTTGAATTTGTGAAGAGAAATAACGACAGAGTAGAAATGAAACTATATTTATATATTTATTATTATGGATAAATAAATAAAAAATAAAGATATTTTGGCAATTATATATTCATTTATTTTTCATTTTCCTAACCCAATTAGAGGAAAACATTTGCTTGTTTTACTTTATTTTTCTAGGGAATTAAATTTTTTTCTAGTGCACAACTTTTCATTTTAATGGAAGTAATAGCATCAACATCAGGTTCTGTAATTTTTGTGCCAAATTATACTCTATAAATCAATTTTTTAACTGCACTATCCATCACACACTATTCTAACTGTATTTCACTAAAAATTTATTTTAGTACCCATTCTCTCAAAAATAGTTTCCAAAAAATCAAAGGAAAGGCGTTAAATACATCAAAGGTTACAATTCTAATCCTCAAATTAGGTCCCCATCCAAAAATATATATGTATTAAAAAATCCTCAAATAGGAATCTTGTGTCATTTTGGTTTCTCTAATATTCAAATTGTATCAATATGAACTCAATGCAGAAAAAGTTGTATTTGGTTTAAATAGTTATTAACATCTCTACACTTTCATTAAAATCTCATTTTAGTTTATACTTTTACTAAATTTTATTTTTATTTTTTTATTTTTAATTTCTGCCAATTACTCATTAAAAATCTGTTATTCCCACAATGGATGTGTGTATGTGTAAATAAATGTATAAATAAAATAAACAACAAAATAAAAATAAATAATCCAGAAAATAATTATATAAATTAAATTCTGAATTAATTGCTTATAGAAATTATAAGTTAAGGCTTGTGTTGGACACAGTCTCCTTACAGTAGATTTTACTCTCGCTCTGGTGTTACGAGATTTAACAGCGTCTACTTCTTATGATGCAACGACTAACACTTGATTTGCAGCACTACAAACTCAAGTCTGGCGAACCAAACAATGTTGTAACTCTCTCTTTCTTTTCCTAGAAACTAAATGGTAGACAGATGCAGGAGCATAGGAGGACGAACAGAAGAAGAAATGAAGAAATATTAGGATAATTTCGATACAAAGAATTGCTGGAATGGCAGGCAATTTATAGGAAAATTGGTGGCTTCTCAGAGCAGGTTTCAACAGATAGGAAACCTGTTCAGATAGATTCAATAGGTAGAAAACCTGTTTGGGTGGAATTCAACAGGTTCATTCAGGTGGAGTTTTAAACTTGTTTGGGTGGAGGATTAAATCTGGACCAATTTATTTTGAATTTTGAAACCAAAATTAAAAAATAAATAAAATACAAATGTTTTTGGTACCAAAAGATAAGTATTGGATCGAACAAGCCCAACCCAACCTCATATCGCATCCAGCCTGCTCGACCGATCAGATGGTGGCGCGTGCACGTGTGTTTTTTTGTTTTGGGTCCAATGGATCTAGCCTGCTTTACCCATAATCTCACCCTTCTACAAACTTGGGTATCCCTTGAGGCTCATCCCAAGTATCCCAAGCTAGAGTTTATATACCTATATAAATCCTTAAGCTTTTCCAATGTGGGACAAGTACATTTCACAAACGTGTAGAAACTCACCTAAAGCCATACCTACGAACCTCGAAAATGCACGTTTGTCACAACCCAAACCCGCGCCCTATGGGTTTAGCACCGTAACCGGCCAGTAATCCGAGATTACCAAAGGCCTGCTTAACAGTCAGACAATAATACAGAGTACAGGGGCATGGCGGAAGCCAAAACAGTAAATAAACAATGTCCAATGAGCTGTGAGTCTGTATGCAAAAAGATTTTTCATACGTATATATATGAACAATACAGAACAATATGTACAACATTTACAGTCGAACAGAACAGGGACCTAATCCCTGTTAGACAGTACAGTACAGTACAATGCTATCAGTCTATACAGTTATTACAAAACAGATACAGAGACAGACGGGGGAAATTAAAACACCCCTAAGCCATAGCTTGGCAGGCTCGGAACCTCGCAGTGAGGCACAGTGGTTGGCTTGACAAAAAGGGAGTCTAACCCACGCTCCTAGCTCCGGTCTGGTGCCTGTACACCTACATATATATATAAACAGTGAGCTAAAGCCCAGTGAATAACATAATGCGTAAAGATGTTAAGAATGAATGTCCTTACAGTAATGAAAACAGTTCATTAAATCAGTATTTCAATTATTCAGTCATTACAGTCATATGTGGTACATCCATTAGTATAGCAGTACAGTAAACAGTAGGTCTTAAGAGACCGAACAGTCAATGATGGCCATCATATCAGTAAACAATAGTGGTTCCAACATGGGAACCGACAGAGATCTCTGTAACAGTAGCAGTAACAGTAAACGGTAATTACTAAGGATGCCACAATACAGTTCAGAATATAGGACACACATTCATTCAGTTGACAGTAATAGTTCAGAAAGCAGTTCAGTTAACAGTCAGAAAATATTCATCTTTGAACATATCTTTACACAGTTGTTACTCACAGAGTTCTGGGCTACAGTTAAGCTAGAGCGCGTCTCCAGTCGCCAACCCTACACAGTTTACAGGACGAAAACACACTAAATTACACAGTTGGGAAAGATAATAACTTAATCCCTAATTTGCCTCGGTGTGTTCTACAACTATATCATCATTAACATGCCTTAAACTAGGCCTAAGAATGCCTAGGATGAAATGAGGA